CTCCATTACCATGACCTAACTTAATTGCCTCTGCAAAACACACGTTAGTCATAGTAATCTTGTATTGTCATTAATCACCGAAACCCAACTAGGGGCCTAGATGCTTTCATTGTTGTTGTTGGTGGTGCTCCTCCTCTCACTACCGGAGATGGCTTTTTTGCCGAGTGTCCCAGACTTTGCCGAGTGCTTTTTATCGGGCACTCGGCAACGAGGCTGTTTGCCGAGTGACAGAGAGAAAGCACTCGGCAAACAACTGGCACTCGACAAAGAGGTGGTTTACCGAGTGCCGAGCACTCGGCAAACAATAACACTCGGCCAAAACTGGTCTTTGCTGAGTGTTATTCTCCTGACACTCGGCAAAGGGCCGCCGCCGTTAACCCTTTGCCGAGTGTCTTCTCCTGACACTCGGTAAAGTGGTGATTTACCGAGTGTCATTTTTTGACACTCGACAAACCATATTTTTTTTTCACTTTTGATCTCTAAACTTTTTCTGTAGTCCTCATACAATAGTTGGTACTCCATGTTCCAATGTGGCACATTTTGGACTTTTTCTATATTTCTTTAATTTATTTCATTTAATTGATTTTTCTTGGATAATTCAAATTATAAATGCTAGTCATTCGAATAATGAAAAAAATGAATGAAAAAATGATATTCATGTTATTTAGTATAATGTGAGGCCGTATCTAGGAACAGACCACCAATTTCGAACATCTTGTTCACGAAACGTGACCATGAACTTGCGGTCGAGTTATTTTTAAATTCTGTAAAAAGCAAACGAAGTCCGAAAATCATGAAACTTGTCAAGATGTCATGACATCATATGTGGAGACTGTGATAAAAATTTTGAAGGTTTCATGAGTTTCACGTACAATGTTTGCAAACCGAAGAATTCTCGAAAAACATGATTCGATGAGCAAGTTCGTGGTCATGTTTTGTGAACAAGATATTCAAATTGGTGGTCCACATATGATATCATCTCGGATACTTAGTTAAATTGGTCATGTTTTGTGAACAAGATACATACATTCATCACATTATGAATAACATGAATATCATTTTTCCATTCATTTTTTTCATTATTCGAATGACTAGCGGTTATAATTTGAATTATCCAAGAAAATTCAATTAAATGAAATAAATTAAAGAAATGTAGAAAAAGTCCGAGAAATATGCCACATTGGAACATGTAGTACCAGGTATTGTATGGGGACTGCAGAAAAAGTTTGGAGGTCAAAAGTGAAAACAAATATGGTTTACCGAGTGTCAAAAAATAACACTCGGTAAAGGAGCCTCTTTGCCGAGTGCCACGACATGGCACTCGGCAAAGAATTAAAAAAAATAAATAAAAACCCCTCTTTGCCGAGTGCCAGCCCGGGTGGCACTCGGCAGAGAATTTAAAAAAAATGAAAAAAATACTTTGCCGAGTGCCAGATCGGGGGCACTCGGCAAAGAATTTTTTTAGAAAAGAAGAAGAAAATAAAAAAAAAACTTTACCGAGTGCTCAGATCTAGAACACTTGGCAAACCCTGTTTTGCCGAGTGTCAGATCTAGGACACTTGGCAAAAAATAAATAAAAAATAAAAAAAATCATTTGCCGAGTGTCAGATTTAGAACACTCGCAAACACTGCCTTGCCGAGTGTCACATCTAGGACTCTCGGCAAAGCTGCTATGCTATATAACTGCACGGTGACGCGCAACAGCTAATCAAATTGGGTGGGCAGCTCACCCAGCAGGGCGCGAGTCAGCGCGCGCTGCGATGGAGCGACGGGCGCAGCAGCTCGGCGACGCGCAACAGCTAGGCAAGGACGACGGCGGCGACTCTCCTCCTCCACTGCAACCGGTAAGACCCGCTCTCCTCCTGCTGCACAGAGCCTCACGAACCTTCTTGTACATCTTCATCCCGCGGAAGGTCTCTTGTTGTCTGCTTGCCACGGAAGGTCTCCTCCTCCTGCTGCACCTGCTCTCCTCGAACTGACGCGCTTGCTGTCTGCTTGCCGCTTGGCAGTTCTTCGAGGTGATGTGCAGGAGCTCCGGCAAGGTCCGGCGGTTCGCGGCAGGGACGACGGCCCGCTACGCGCTACACGCCATCAACCACAAGCTCGAACCCGGGGCACAGCCGGTGCTGCACATCGAGGCCGTCAGGGACAGCGAAGAGCCTGTCAGCTTTGGCCCCAGCGTGGCCCTCGCCGACTATGGCCGCGGCTGGAGGCTGCAGACCGTCACCGCGCAGGACGCGCCCGAGATCCATCACGCGCTGCACGCGGAAAGGCAGCAGCAGCGGTTTCTTTTTATTTTTTCGAAAATTCGTTGCCGAGTGTCGATTTAGCACTCAGCAAAGGCTTTGCCGTCACAGTGGCGCTCGCTGTCACGGTGACTTTTCATTGCCTAGTGTCAGATTAGCGCTCGGCAAAGGCTTTGCCGAGTGCCCGATAAAGTGCATTCGGCAAAGAGGTCTTTGCCGATAAACTGTTTGCCGAGCGCTCTTTGCCGAGTGTTACACTCGGCAAAGGTTTTGCCGAGTGTATATCGGCCTTTGCCGAGTGCCTGAGGCACTCGGCAAAGAAGCTGAGTCCGGTAGTGTCTATATGTGATCTCCAGAGTGGGGATCTTTGGTTGAGGTGGATCTACTATTGGTGTAGTGAAGAACTTGTCAACCAGTTTCAGCAATTGATCGGTGATGTTGTGGACGTGGCAGATTTACTCCATGTCTACGGTCTTGGTGGCGCGGCCGCTGCCTGGAAGGCTGGCGGTGGCACTGCTGGCTGTATGGCCGCTGCAGGGTGCAGTAGATAGCGAGGGCGCGGCAGCGTTGGGTAACAGCAGGCTGCTGCTGCTGTTCGTGGTGACAGAAGCTCCGAAGTTGTTGATCGGAGCATACCCGTTGTTGATGAGTTGGTAGAAGTCGTTCCCATGGGGAACGAACATGCTGTTGCGGACGTTGCTGCTGCATTTCTCCATGGCCGTGGTCGGAACATTGCCCGAAGGATCGATCTGGTCTCCGGATACCAGTGTCAGGGACCTTTCCCGCAGGGCCCTAGGGACGGCTATGGCAAGGCATGGGGGAGAGGGTGGCACCTAGGGCAGGAGGGAAGATTGGTCGGTTGGTGTAGATGGCGTAGAGTGAGGGAGAGGCGGTGCTGGGGAGAGACATGGGAGAAGACCGACGCTTAGAAGGGAGAGGAGGGGATAGAAGGCCCTTGGCCTGTTCTATTCTTGCTTAAGAATGAAAGGCTACGTAGCCCCTCTATTTATAGTCCTGGGAGGGTTAGTTCCTAAGTAATCTTAACTTGTCCTCCAAGCCAGCTGATCCTATCCTCCCAGATCTGGATGTCGACAGCGTGGCGGGAGGCCGCCCCAACGCTGGTCGCGCCGCCCTCCTGGTGGCACGGTCAGCCAAGGCCTAGCCAGCCTGGGCTTCCTCCTGGACCCTCCATTAGACGTATGACAATTCATCTATGTGTGTTTGGTATCTTGGAGTACTAGACATGTTTTTGAGTATTTGTGTTCATTTTGAATTATCTGCCACGGAACCCTTTACCTAAATTTCAGGGCAATTGTTTTGGTTTTGCTCGTCAATGGAGTTACCTGAATTCCAGGGCGTACTGTGAACACAGAAGGGAGTTTGGAGTTCTCTGAATATTATGCAGTGTGATCCTTTGAGCTAACGGAACTGATAAACTGATGGGGAGATCTAAAGCACCGGAACAAAAACATCCTAAACTTTTCGGTGAGTGAGTTGAGTAAGAGTATGTTTGGAAGCTCGGTATTTGCCCCAAAACCATTATAAATTATACGAACTAGATCTCTTTTTCTGACATAGGCCAGAAGTCACTCTTTAGATGTCCAGTGAGCCCACTAAATTTACATTCCAGTTTGGCCCAAAACAGTTGGAAAAAAAAAACTCGACCTGCAGCATGTAAGACCACCCCTGGACATTCTTGGACGAGAAGCTCCGTTGAAATCAGGCCGCCGCCCAACTCGTCCCCACTGGTCCACCGCTCTCCCCGAACCGACAGTGACCTCGAGACAGGGACTGATGGCGAGCCGCGAGCCCAACCGGCAAACCCTCGACCTGCCATACAGCGATGGTCCAATTGGTGGGAGGTGGCGAGATAGAGACGCGGCTCAATTTGGCTTGGCTGGTGCAAAGGACTGGCCTAGCTGAGGCCGGGACAATGGAGGAGAGCGACAAGGGTATTGGGCTCACTGAGGCTGCTATCCGTGCAGCAGCTGAAGAGATGCGCCACGGTAATGTCGCAGAGCCGAACCACTATGGGTCTGAGTAGGGGCTCAGGGCTAGAGCCTATACAGAAGAGTCTAAGCGACGTGCATACGCGAGGAATCTATCGATGGGTGCTCAGACTACTTGAATTTGCTCCAGATAGCTTGGTTGGGCGGCAATGGTGGCTACAGCTTGGTTTCTTTTTCCATGGCACCCACTACCTTTGATGGAGTCCAACAAGAAACTTTTCTGGAAGCTAGCAGGTGAGGCGGCGAGGCATCAGGAACTAGCAATATAGCGTGACTGCGGCTCGATCGGATGTCAACGAATTTGGCAGGCGGCGAGCGAAGGTATGTCACTGTGCTTCAAAATGATATTCCACAAGCAGATGATTATTCATCAGTGTTCTTGTGCATTTTAGAATACAAGTGTAATCATTTTACAGGTGTATATGTTTTCATGAAAAAGGAGAGGACAATTTCAGACTTGAGAATTCGTGCCCCGACCCAACCCAAGCTGTTTTTTTAATTATTTGAAAGGATAATAGGTATAGATATATATGCTAATGTCTGTATCTTGTACACGCAGAAATGGTAATTATATATATATATATATATATATATATATATATATATATATATATATATATATATATATATATATATATATATATATATATATATATATATATATATATATATATATATATATTCTGCTTGGACATGATGTATAGCCGGCATGGCAGATCGAGCAACTAACTAGCTAGTTCATTATTCATGGCGCCGTCGGGTATGAACCGTATGATCCCGGGGGTAAATTAGTTCCAGGGTAGCCATGCAGCGCCGATGCCACCATAGCTGTTTGCTTCATCTTCCTGCCTGCACCTGCATCACCGATGGAACATGCATGTTTTCAGATCATAAGAACACATGCAGCACCTTCTTGATTAATATAAAGCTGAGGGACAGTACCGTAGGCTTCTACCTGTTGCAGCTGCAACGAACGATGATGCCAGGAGGAGAGATGCCACAAGAAAGCATAGCAGCAGCGCCGCCGTCCCGAGTTTGCTCGCCGGTGCCGCCATCGCCATGTGATGTGTGCAGCTAGCGGAGGGCCGTAGTCGTCTCGGCCAATTCCTACAGTCGTTGGTGTATTGCACTGCACTCGGCACTCCCAAGTACGGTAAGTATATATAGTGGTCGATCTGTTGTTGTACGCATTGGTCCTGCGGCGGGCAACACTTATTTATATAAGCAAGCTAGCTTTTTTTTTGTTCGCTTTGCTGAAAAGTCATGACTGAAAGTACTGTTCGCTGATTTGTTGTGAGAGAAAAATATCGTTCATTCGCTGAAATAGTACGGCTCATAAGACAAACGAACATGGCCTCAGCTAGCTAACTAACACCAATGCAAACGACGACCAAGCTATGGTCAAGCTCTGCGTGCTGACCATATTTTATGATGCGTACGTACTACGTAGCAGCCATACGTGCACTGTAAAGCGACTTGTCTAATTTTCCTCAAGTCATCAGTTATTACTATATGAATGTAAATACGATTAATTAGGAGAGCATATGCATGCCTTTCAGAGAGACGTGTACGCTCACTCTATGGCCATGTTCGTTTAAACTTATCAGGCTGGTTTATCAGTCATGGAATAGTGTTTTTCTCTCGCAACAAATCAATTTTAGCGGGCTTTTCGGGGGTAGAAACCATTACCCCTATATTACGTACCAACGGACTACTAGCAAAGTCAGACCCACCTATCATTGGACCTTTTCAATGAGCCGATCGAGGACACGACATTTTCCTCCCCGAGACCCGACTTCAGTAGCTCCTCACAACTAGGAAAATACGTACTTTATAATGAGAAGCAAAAGAGTACAGATGTAAGTAAACTCATCAGCTCGTATGTGAAATTGAATAGAACAAATCCTACAGGTTATCCTAGTCAACCAAGACGAGTCAGTCAAAATGTGTGCGTGTGCATTATGCTAATTGCTAGCTACAAGTGGTCTCAACTCTCTCAAGCTATAGGTTTGTCAACCGTGTATTTTGGAACAAGTCAGTACTCCTCAGTAGTCAATGCCTGCAAGTGCAACATTCTATAATCTACACGCGTGGTCGTCCACAGCTGTATCTATCTTCGCTTCATCCGGTTCAGCCGTTCAGCCGTGCCGGCAAATTGGGAAGCTGAAATCGGCTGTCGACTCGTGAGTATCCAGCTGTATGGACCCAGTCAGATCGATGCATCAGGGGACCGTACGTGTACCCGCCATGTCTTCTCTCGTTGCCGACCATCACGAATCACTAACCATTTTTTTAGAGGTGCGTAGAATGCATTTTAGAGACAGTTGCTTAGCCTATATATCTCTAGGCAAATGCCTCTGAAAACTAGTGATTTCCAATGGCTACCAAGCAAAGTCTCAAGAAACGTTTTATATATAGTGACACTTCATTTTAGTCAACCGTCTTTAAAATAGTTTCTCAATTCAGTCAGATTTGAGTTAACCACTTCACAAACCGATTTCTGTAGGCGATCTCTTAAACGATCAGTCGGGAAACTGTTTCAAAAAAAGTATTAAAAATATAAAAAGATCACAAAAAAACCATGTATTGGCTGGTCGAAAATAAGGGTATGGCCAGATTTAGAGAAGAGCCACATAAGTGCCCGTATCTAAAAATTCTATTTTATGAGGTGGTTGCTTATTGTAGAGACCCACTGGGTTAATCCACCTAAATCAAGCGTGATCCTCTTGACCAACCTGATTAAGACAATTAACCTCGGTGATCCCAAGAAGATGCCACCCGCATCTCCACTACATCAAGACATACGATCCCAGTCACGTATCATATACCAATGCAGTAGCTACAAATCAAGATTGCATAGGAGACATGTATTACAAATCTTGTCAAATTAATAAGTTAATTGTACAACATTAGAGAAGACACGTATTAACCTACTTCCTCCGTCCCAAAATAAATGCGCTTCTAGTATTCAAAATTTGTCCCAAAATAAGTGTACTTTTAGGCCATGGACCACCTAGCACTACTAGTTTTTACTACTTTCATCATTTTCAAGGTGCAATTATGACATGTTCCTATAACTTTTGATAGGGTTATATATATAATTTTATAGTGACATTGGTTTTCCCACCCTCCTAGAAGTGCAATTAATTTGGGAAGGATCGGAGATACACTACTACACAAAGTCTATTCACAGTCGGGACCTTCACCAATGGTTTTGAGATAACCGGCGGTGATACGTATCACCACTGGCTTGTGACCTGTGGGGACCCTCCTAGCCGAATAACCGACGGTGATGAATGCTTTCGCCGCCGGCTTGGCGTATAATCCGGCGGTGAACAAAATGCCGGGCATCGCTGCCGTGTCATCCAGTGAACCTGCGGTAAAAGGGTTTTCGCCGCCGGTTGCTCGTTCTATGTCCAATGCTGGAGACACCGGCGAAGGTAATAGTTTTTTCACCGCCGATGCCAAGATGGACGTGTGTGCTACAGTAGGATCCGACGGTGAAGTAAGTTGTCACCGTCGGTTTACCGTATGATCCGGTGGTGAAGCAACCATTGTTTGAATGGACGCGTTGGTGATCTGAAGTCAACGTCAGTGCGTTACGGTGATGGTTGATGGTAGATGCTTGAAATCTGTGACGCCACCTCCCGCACGGCCGGCCCATTGTTCCTCTCTCGCTATTTGTGTGCACGCCTCGCATCGAGCCACGGCCAGATCCAAAGGCAAGGTATTCTTTCGCACTTCAATGATGGATCTTTGTTGAATTATTTTCCTTTTTAAGCCTTATTTGGATGTTGTCAGATTCATCTCAATCCACATGTCTAAAGGTGGATTGTTGTAAAATTTAGCTCAAGATCCACTTCAATCCACCCTAACACATGTGGATTGATACAAACAAGATGTTAGTGATCTCATTAGTAAGGAAGCTCTCATCCTACTGCACACTGATAATCGCAGGCTCAACGAAATGGAGGAGGCTCCTAGCAAGAGGAATGCACTGGCCAGCCTCACAGAGGATGTCGTTCTTGAGATCCTCCATCTCCTCCCCACCTGCTCCTTGTTCTGCTGCAAATGTGTCTGTCGCTCCTGGAACAGCCTCATCTCCAACAACCATAAGGTGCTGCCCCAAACTGTGGCTGACTTCTTCTACGACATCAAGAACGGCAATCAAAACTTCACCCGCGTCACCAGTGAACGCCCTGACTTGTCCTTCTTGCCCTTCTGCATTGACAATGTAGTTGTCTCAGATTGCTACAACGGCCTCATCCTATGCTGGTGCCTTGGGGCTACTACTGGATACTGCTATGTCATCTGTAATCTGGTAACCCAGAAGTTTAAGGTACTGCCGCCTAGCATCCATAAGTTTTGTGAGGCTCGCTTGGCATTCGATTCGATAGCCTCGTCGCACTTCCATGTCATTCAATATGTGGAGGAGGAGGGTGAGTGCGTAGGTGTGGAGATCTACTCATATCAAACTGCAGCATGGATCTATAAGCAATCTTAATGGGGCCAGGGTACTCATGTGACATGTTTTAGATCAGCAAGTGTGTTTCTTAATGGTTTTCTGCACATTATGAGGTACTTAGATGGGTACTCTCAGATACTTGCTGTGGATATGGAGGGAAACACATGGAGGAGAATTCATAGGCCTAGTGGTGCTAATCCCTCCATCCATCAAGCTCAGGGTCACTTGTGTGTATGTACTGTTGGTGCTCGCAATAGGTCCCAGCTTTCAATCTGGATCCTTGAAGACTATGGTACTAATGAATGAACATTGAAGCATACTATTAGCAAGCTGATTGTGTTTTGATGGACTGATATTGAATTTGGTTTCCTAGATTGTGATGCGGACTACAAGCAATTGTAGTTCACCCAGAATGGAATATAATTTTCTTTCTTGGCGAACAAAGAACCATCATCGCATATGACCTTGACCATAGAAAAGTTCATGTCATCCCTGCCCTTGTCATTCGGTATCGTAGATGTAGGGTCAGGAAAGAGGACATGAGAAGACCATACTATATTCCTTGCATTCCTTTGTTCTCGGATTCATTAGCAGAGGAGTAAATAAAGCTGCATTTGATGTATCTCTCTATCACGGCATGTTCAAATGGACCAATGTTGTTTGATTGTCTATGGACATGTTAATTTCCTCTAGGATGGATGTTGTCATTATTGCAGCTAAACTAGTGTGCCATCTTTGTTGTGTTTGCAAATTGGTTTCACCTATCCGGCAGCGCTGCCGCTTGCACCGTCGGCGTAGCCACGTTCAATCTCATCTGCCGCCTTCAATCACCTTCAATCGCCGCCTCCGCCGAGCTAGGGTTCATCAAAATAGTTATCTACGAGTGCAATGATCCCTCATCTACACCGCTCTTATCAATATGAGTATCATACGGTGTATGTTGGCGTATCAACTCTGAGTTCCCATGTACGCATGCGCCCGTACATAAAAATTACGATAACAAAGACCTAACAATAAAATTACATATACAATAACAAAGACCTTTCTCCAAATAGGTCATTGTTACAATCAAAGTGTACCAACACATTATAAAATAACCTCGATGTATAAGCACTGCTGTAGCTGCTCTGACTTCTGCCTCTCGGTCCTCTTCTCGGCCGACTCAACCCTCGGGCGCTTCCCATTCGCTATGGACCAATCTTGAGGGTGGAGCGGAGGGATGGGAGCTATAAATCATGGTTATGTAACCTTGTTCGTTCTGCTTCCGCATTTATAGAAGGATTTATGAAGAAGCGGTTATCTACGAGTACAATGATCCCTCATCTACACCGCTCATATCAATACGCATTCATACGTTGTACGTGGGCATAGCAACTTCGAGTTCCCATGTATGCATGCGTGCGTCCCTTTGGTCCGCCAGATCTTGCGCGTCATTAAGTTATAATAATGCTAGGGAATATGAACCGCATCATATGGAACGCCGACTCAATAATGAATGTCTCAACTTCCAACACCGTCTCACCACTTTTCCTAAGATTCGGTGTCTTCCATAGATCACATGGATCTTAACTGCTCCTCTCCACTTCTCCA